GCAATGTTGTGGGATTTGGCCGCTCGACTTAGCATCTATTTTCAACAATCTCTATATAGTCTCTTTTTACAACGTGCGTGTTAGAGGGCAATAATTTAGAATTTACTACACGTAAAAACCTTAATCCTGTCGCCTTTTACGACATGCTTGTCAATGTGTTGGGGCGGAGGGGGTCCCTCTTCTTGAAAATGGGGTCCGGGATCCACATTGAAATGTACACTAATGAGTTAAGGATCTGTCCATACGATCACGTAGAAATGGCAACTGTAAGACCGTTTTCCCCACACATCGGCATAACAGGAGCCGTTGACGGAGCCGGCACTGGTGCCAGTCAGTGACTCTTTTTATACACGCCGGTAAAAGTACATGCCGAGTACAGTGTTGACTTACTGGGGCAGTATTCCCTTCTTAATGGGTTTTAAAAGGGACATTCTTGCAGATGTTCTGCAGTCTGCACACACAGCCCACACGGGCACAATGTGGAACTACCTAGATGGAGCCTGTGCTTGTTAAGTTTATGTCCTGTCCCGAGGCGCAGAATAATGACCTGCCAATGCTGGTCAGGTGGTAGTCATCTCTGGCCAGACTGTTCAAAATGTATTCTTAACCTATAAATGCCTCTGTTCTCATAGTAATTAGAGTTTTAACTATAGATATACAAACTGCGGTTTATTAATACCAGTGCCCTCAATTTCAAAATTGCTTGATGCTTTTGAAATAAATCTCAGGCACTTCTGTTGACTCTCGAAAGACAACCATGTGTATAATTTTTTGACCCGAGCGAGCATTGTCTTGAATTAATTACTGAATTCCCGGAAGGTATTAAATTCGTGAGGCCAAAATGTTTTTCTTTTCTTGGCGGTTCATTATTCATTCAGCTCAAAGAGTTGCATCGTAATGGCAGTCCACCGAGCAAATATTGGACATCCCATTCAACTCCGTAAGAAGTTATAATTAAGGCTTATGTAATGACTATGCCGTCTTCTTTATGAAGAAAGTGCCAGCTATGTAACTACCCCTAAGAAACTGTTGAACACCATCTCTTTGAGTGCCGAAAACTCAGCGGGACTAGAAGAATGCTACTCCCTCCGAGACCAGACAAGTGGAACACCTTGTACGGAGGAAAAGAACAGCTTGTGAAATCAAATTCCACTACATGGCATTGGGCCAAAGGGCGAAAGCTCACGCGCCGCTGGATCGATAACAACAACTTTATGAAGCAGAATGCTGGAGAATGACCAAAAAGGATGCACACAAGCTGTCCACCTTCCACTACACATGTCTACGTAGAATTATCAACATTTTCTGGCGAAATACAATCTCAAACACTAAACTACTTCAAGTCACAAACTAAGAAACTCTAGACAGTATGATAACCAAGAGAAGATGGAAATGGCCTGGCCACGTTATGAGAATGAATCCTGATATACCTGCCAAAACAGTGCTCACATGGACACCAGAGGGAAAGAGAAAACAGGGGCGCCCAAAAACAACATGGAGACGAACGATGAAAAGTGACCTGAGTGTGGCATCTTTGACATGGAAAACTGCACCGAAGATTGAACAGGACAGGAAAGCATGGAAAGTCCTCTCTGAAGTCTCATGTGCCACTAGGCATAACAACTGATGAATGAGGGCCCTTTGGAAACGAATGGTCCGAGGCGCCGAGAATGATGCTGTCCAGGAGAATGATGCTGCCAGGAGTTACCAGGGGATCTGGCCGACGCTCAACACTCAGAGGAAGGATGAGACGGATATACAATCAGACGGTTAATGGTGCCATCGAAATGTGAACTCTTCGCTTGCTGCTGAAGATAGGGACGGAGCACTTATTTGAGTGTCCCGAGTGCTGTAATGTCGTTTCTCAATTCAACAACATCATTCAACATTCTGGACACAGCGTCTGCTGTGACTGTAAAGTCGAATGCGGGGGAGGCATTCTCTGCCACATGGTCTAGATAACAACGTCGATACTTTATTAACCGAGACTAGTTTTCTGCCAGAAGTCAGCACTCTATAGCTTGTTGCGTTTGGTTTCTTGCAAGGTGCGACAGTCCGCTTTCACTATCTGCAGGAGCCAGTGTGCAGCAGGTATCTCCCGATTGTCTGTGTAAATGTTGGTATTCTTCAGGTCACGTTTGCATTATGTCCTTGTAGGTCCTTGACCTTCATGCGGACATTTTCTCTGCTGGCAATTCCCCATACAAGAGATTCTTTGGAATGCAACCATCCTCATGTGGGAGATATGTTCCAACCAGCAGAGACAGAAACTACACTGTTGGCATTCCTGCTCTTTTGAGAACACATTCTTTGGGGGACACAGTCTGGTCATGGTATGCCAGTAATGTGCAGATAATGAGCAGACTGACAGATTAGCTGTTGCTGCTTCTCTGAGCAGTGAGCTACTTTATGATAAAGCGGATGCGGTGAAGGCTCTACGGGATCGAATGGACAGTGCAAAAGAACAGAGAATCTATAAACTGAAAGACTAACTCAAGGTGGGGAAGGGGGGGGGGGGGGGCACAGTAGAGGTTCTGGAAGATATTCAACATTTAAGGGTAAACAGAGGTGGAATTTTAATCAGATTGCAACTGGTACCATTAGCATGCCGGCTCTGAGGCTAAGTCGATGCGAACGCTTCGTAATGTTGGGGTACCGGGTTCGATCCCAGATGCGGGCTATGCGCCTTGCGTTGGTTTCGACAGTGGTATCAGGGAGCCGACCATCCAGGAGCAATGGCAAACTACTGGACGTAAATTTGCCTAGAGAAACCACACAACAACCAGGGGCTGCTGAGGTTGGTTATGCAACGTTCTGTAAAGGATACGCAACTAACCAACAACCATTAGCATGTCAGGGAATGTGCCAAGTGTAGTAATGTCAATTCTTGATTCATTAATTCTTTTATTTACTCTCCCCGTGTGGGTTCCGGGGACCCATTGCGGAAAAAACTTCTTCTTCTTCTTTGTGTTCGGTTTCATATGCTCAGATCAGACCATCAGGTGGGGTGCCTCTATGAACTCACATGTCAGTCGCAGGTCCTTCATGGTTTCCCATAGCTTGCTCTGCACACTTTGCTCTTAAGGCCAGGTGTCTTTTTGAAGTTGTATGTAGAGTGGGCAGGTCTGCAGAATGTGCTCAGGTGTTTGTGGTCCTGCATGTGTTAGTTGAGGTTGTTCTTAGATGGACAATTGTTGTATGTTGCTTTCTGTTGAGTCTGCTGATGGGTCTTGTGGATGTTTACTGTTGATTTGTTCTGTCCATAATTCTTGTCATGGATGGCATTTTCATTTCAAAGGTAACATCCAAATCTAGAAAGTGAATTACCAACACTGTATAGCGCGTTGATTTTGGTCATTAGGAAAATTTACAGCCGCTGTGATGTGCATAAGGAGATATCTCCATGCTCACCGGTTTATTTGGCCTCATTTCTGACTTCTGGTCAGTCTCACAGCCTCTTCAAGCATCTAATTTCCATTATTGTTTACTGTTTATAGTTTTTTTTTTAAACAAAGCATTTACACAAATACATTTTTTAACAAACCAGTAACGTCTGTCGGTAATTTTTCTTGTTTATTTGTCAATCATTCACTACAAGTATGTGGATAACAATCATAAACAGAATATCACTTCCCTCCTATCAAATTTTAACAGAATGAAATATATCTGTCAGGTAGAATATATTTCATAAAATATATCCTCAACCTTCTAACTGACAATAATGTGTGAAGTGTTAGCAAGGAGATAATGGTAAAAATAATAATGTTACAGATATTTAACTATATATTTTTCTCAAGTACTGAGTGGCAGTCTGTTGCTAAAACATGCAAAAGAAACATTACCAACCTAGACGGCACTATACCACAGTAACAGTCTAACAACAAACAAAGAGAAGAAAAGTAAATAAAAGTAAAGGACTCATTTCACGCCTTTAGAATCTTGGATATAGAGTGCTAGCGGTATATTTTTATAAACCAATTGGCACTCAATTTGTGTTGTGATCAACATGCGCTAGTCACCTTTACTACCCAGGATATTACATTTTAGGTTGGGAGTAAAGCTCAGTTTGGGAACATACCCAATGCCAATTAATGTTAATGTTGTATAATGAGACTAATTAAGGGCTTGCTGAAGTTGGATGTGTGGGGTCAAAGGGTGAAGATAACAGAGATGAGTTGTAAATCACAACAATGTGCTAACAGCTTTTTTAAGAAAAAAAAAAACCCACACGCACGCATGCACACACACCCGCGCGCACGCAGACGAAATCACATGATCACTCACCCAGCAGTTTCTGAAAAAACATACGTGAATAAACAAATGATATTTTCATATTTCAACCTGCCATCATTTCCATCAGCTATATCTTCATGCAACATATACATTCAGCAGTTGTAGGGTTAAAGTAGGGATGTATCCTTTCACAAACTGTCTAACAATGTACCCAGCAACAGATCTGCCTGCCACAATATTCCATATTCCAAGAAAACAATTTAACAACCCCATTGGTAAAATAAGGTGACTGTAGTAAAGCTATGAAAGTCTACAAAAGATTGGACAAACATAAAATACATGTCAACTTACAGGTACAATTACAACAGACAAACAAAAGACATTTGTCCAGTTACATAATTTATACAATTCTATCGTTCAATACTATTTTATTTCATTTGTTTAACTTATATTTGAATATCATAATGTAGCCATTTCAGAGTGATCCATTTTTATTTTCCATACTTTATAAAACTGTATTGTTTATTATTATTTTATTTCACATAATATTTGAATATCATCAGGTAGTCACTTCAGAGTCAGTTCCATTGTTATGTGTTGTGTTTTCGTTCTAATCACTGTTCTATTGATGACAGCTTATCGCCACAAAATCCTTTGTCTATTGTAAGTGGATCAGTAAAGCAGACATATTCATTACGTTTTCCAATCTTTTCTAGACCCTCATTGGTCAAGCACTGTCAAATCAACTGCTAAACAAATACAAACTGTTATTTTTTCACAATCTGTATGACATCTTCATCCGCCATTGAATGAGTCAGACCAACCCTCTGTGGATTGTACTTGGTGCTCTGGCCCTGGAAGTAAGAATAATCATGCCAACTGTTACAAATGTGTACTCCAATCTTTACTTCCATTTGCAGAAAGATAATACCTGCTAACTTTCAGAGGTAAAAACATATGCCAGAAAATTAAAAAAACTATGTTACAAAACATAAACACCTTAAACTTTGCCCTTTGATTTTGATTGTTTTAAGGTACATATGCATTTGATATAACACAGATGGTTCACAATTTATGCAGATTCTGCCTTGTTTTACATTGTTCCTGGAGTTTATCAGAGAAATAAACAACAGTGAGTTCTAACTTACAAAATATGACATGAGATGAAAAACAGGTTGGGCCACTACAGACAATCACAGCTTTGAAAGATTGTTTTATTTCCTGAAAACTGGTTTTCCAAGCCAATGGTCTGGTCACCACAGACAATCACCGCTTTGAAAGATTGTTTTATTTCCTGAAAACTGGTTTTCCAAGCCAATGGTCTGGTCACCACAGACAATCACAGCTTTGAAAGCTTGTTTTATTTCCTGAAAACTGGTTTTCCAAGCCAATGGTCTGGTGAGTACAGACAAGTCCTCGTGTGGGTTCCTGGGGGTCCACTGTGGGGAAAACAAGAACAAACACACTGCCTGCCCAAAAGCATGTTGTAAGAGTTGACTAATTGGGAACTTCCTTTAAAGTCAGAGTGCGTCTGTCTGTGAGGCAAGAAACCAACAGTCTGCATACAAACAAGTCAAACCTGTGAAACAGATGTGCACAAAACACTCAATTTCTGGAAAAAGAGTAAAGAAGTGGATGAACAACCAGAACTTTTCACCAGTTTACAGCAGGCTGAACGCAAAGAAGAAGAAAAAGACTACAGACAATCATTGCTGTGAAAGTGTTTTGTCTCCTGAAAATTGTTTTTCCTAGTCAGTGAAAGGTAGTTTGTTTTTGATATGTTCCACTAGTTACAACTCTGCACTGAGATGATGTGATTTCTCCTTACCAGAGGTTCCTTCACTCTTAGCTTAACAACAAGACCACATTTCGAGACTGAAAGAGTGTCACAGCATATTGCCTTTTCTTCTTCTTCCACATTCATACACAACAGATCAGTTGGCCCGCTGTGTTGTAGTTTACAGCCACGCTGTCAAATATGCCTTTTGGCCCAACACATCTGATTTCAGCAAACCTCAATTTGGTCGCCTATCAGGACATGCTTGATACGGGGCAGCCAGGTCTATGCTTTGTTCTCATAAAATGGTGCCTTGTAATCCACACTGGATATTCATCATTCAAACTGTGCACTAATGCCTGGAGACTGTAATAAAAATTTAACTTGTTAGTTTCCGTTTTGACAGACACAGCACTGCTCTTCTGATGTGCTTCTGTAGCTTGCTTTGTTTTAAAGGTATTGGTGTTACCTCTCCTTTTAGTGACAAGAAGGCTAAGGGAGGGAGCTTGTTGCCTGGGCAACATATAGACTCTACAATCCTGCTGCCTGGGCAACATATAGTCTCAACAATCCTGCTGCCTGGGCAACATATAGTCTCTACAGTCTTGCTGCCTGGGCAACATATAGTCTCTTCAGTCTTGCTGCTTGGGAAACATACAGTCGCTACAGTCTTGCTGCCTGGGCAAACATATAGTCTCTACAATACTGCCCAGGCTTTGTGCTATAGACCTTTCATAACAATGGGTCTTGCTAGCCACACTCGCCATCACCATGGTTTGTGATTCCCATGCCTATTTATAGCACAATATCCACATTGCGAGAGAAGCTATTTGGGACCGGTGGCGACCTTAAACGCACAATCCTATTTTTGATCCAGACGGGACTCAATGTTTAGCATGACTGATGTTGAACGCAGAAGAAGAAGAAGAAATAGCACAATATAACAACACTGCCATCTGAAAGACAGAATGGTGCTCAATAATTAGTTTCTCTTTACAAATGTAGTACACCCAGACAACACATATGAAACTTAAGAAAAATAAAACAACATTAAAAAAACTTTTCATACTATAAGCTTTTATTACTTATCTTGCATATACTAACAACCAATGCCTTGTAGAATTATTCTTTCCCTTGATGAAAGTATTTTATTTACTGGCTATTTAAAATATTTTATTTGTGTGTGTGTGAATGACAGTGCACTCCAGAACCCTATAAATTAGGTTGTTGTATGGCTGTTAATTAATGAGAATACATGGAATGAAGTGTGTGCACCAGCAAGAACCTCACCAACACACACCATCCACCAGAACATGATAAGAACATAACGGACAGATAACCTACCAGGGACTTAAAAAGTGACACAACCAAACGATATTACAGACATAGCGACACATAATAACATGCAAGACATGGAAGTGTGAGTGTCCTTACGTGTTGAAGTACACTTTTGGTTGACACATATGAAAGAGTATGCATGTGTACTAAATGTCAAATAGGTTTGCATACATGGTGTGACGTGCGTTGGCTTCATTGTGACTGGCGGCGTACCAAAGTGACTAGGGGGTGTCGCAATGTAACAAATGGCATCAACACTTAACATGCCACTGGCCAAGAGTAACACAACATGATGAATGCTGAAGCTTCCCAAACGTAGCGGAACGAGAACTCTTTTTAAAGTTCCATTTGTGTATTGACAAATGCAATGATCAACACAAGGATAAAATATGCAATTAATAATCAAGCACATCAACAAAAGCTCGCTCGTACATCCATGGACTGATATGTCTTCACGATAGGTCGCAGTCCGACCTTGAGATCCAGACGATTATCTTTGTCTTCGGCTCCGCAATCTGAATTAAGTAATGAAAGACGGCTTACTGCCGAACTGTGACTATTCACAGCTTCCTGCTGAGGTCTATCTTGGAGTCCCGGGGTAAAATGTCCTCAAGGATCCAACTTTATACAACGTTTGCTTCCGTGGGATCCCCGGGGTAAGCGTCCTAATCCACACGTCCGTCTCCTTCGGACTATAAACATCAACTGCAAAGTATACCGGCTTACTGCCGAACTGTGACTATTCACCAGCTTCCTGCTGAGGTCTATCTTGGAGTCCCGGGGTAAAACGTCCTCAAGGATCCAACTTTATACAACGTTTGCTTCCGTGGGATCCCGGGGTAAAGCGTCCTCAAGGATCCACACGTCCGTCTCCTTCGGACTATAAACATCAACTGCAAAGTATACCGGCTTACTGCCGAACTGTGGCATCCCGGGGTAAAACGTCCTCAAGGATCCACCGTGGCATCCCGGGGTAAAGCATCCTCAAGGATCCACACCAGGGCCGGACCACCGTCCGCCTTGGTCAAACTTCGACTTTCATCTCCTAGAATACAATTCCTTCACAACCTGATGTATTGTTTTGACGTCTTATTTGCTCACTCAGTACTGGTGCGTTCTGGTGCACATCCGCACGCGACACATGGATAAGGATGAAAGGAAGTGTACACATGAATGCTCAAGTGCATGTACATATACACTTAGTTGTGTGCGTCCATGTACTCTGGGGGTTCATACCCAAAACCATCCCATTCTCCATCATGCATACAACATAAACATGACTGATATAACATGACATAAACATGACAAATGCGCACTGGTAATCTGGTAATCCTAGTTTTCATAAAATTTCATAGCAAAGGTGGTCCAAAGGATGTTGTGTGGAAAAGCGCGCCCCCATAGTTGCCTGGCCCAAAGGGCAACCTGTGCCAATTAAGATGAAAGAATGCACAAGTAACAACAGGGTAGCGTCATTCGGATGGAAGCATCAATCCCAAAATGGCACAAACAATAGAATTCACACCTGGTCGAAGCTTTTCATTTTTTTCTCTCAAAAGGACTAGGACTAATATTGGTCATCTAAAATGACCACTGACAAGCAAAATATTGTCGTAATTTCAGAATTTTTCACCCTGGGCGATGAAGACTATATGCTTTCAGTCTACAAATGGAGCAAAAAATGTGACGGCCACTGTCATCCAGAAGTAAAAAAAAAGTAAAAAAAATTGAATGCAAACGGCCATCCAGATTAACAAATAAATAAACAATTTCAAACATTATAAAAGCTTATTGAAATCAGCTACCATTATATTTATAAATGAGAATGTGAGCACAAATGCGCACTTATGTGAGGGTTCATAGCATAAATGGTCACCCCCCCTCCGCAGCCAATAACCAAGTAGCTCACAGTGTCACACTATTTCAACTCAGAAGCTGGGGGACGGGACTTAATGGAGCAAAAAAGTGACGGCCACCGCCTGGCAGAAGTAAAAAAAAAACATTTGCCACGGCTAAAAAAAAAAAAAGTGGCCGTGCCTAGCGTCCATTTTTACCTGAAGCATTATGTGAGGGTTAATAAATGGTCGCCCCAGCAGTACCCTCACTATTAGCTGGGGAAGGGACTTAGGACAAATGTGTACACACAGGTCAAGTTAGATGACAGATACTACTGGTGGTGTGTAAAGTGCAAGGTCATCATTATGAAGTGAATAAAGTGCTGGTTTCTTTCCTCATCACCAGCCTTTCCCAAACAAGTCAGAGACAATTATTAAAATGTATAGACATAATGACATAACTTACCCAGACTAATGCATATTTGAAGGCTTGAGCTATTGTTCTGTGAATCACATGGCACTGTAAACAAAATAAAACATATATTACTAACACAATTTACACCACACAGTGGATTGGAAAGAACAGTAGCGGAGGGCACAGCACAGGCTCAGAGGGGCCAATCCCCTTAAAGATGGACACAGGACAAAAGAGACACATTGGACAGGAAAGTGTACGTGGCAGGAGAGCTGGCGAGGGACAGTTTTCTTTCAGGCAGGCTTTTAGGGAAGCAACATTTTTTAAAGAAACGTTCTGTAAAGGGTCGGTTTCATGATGATGATGAATCTATAAGTGAAACTGAGGGAGAGGCTGGAGCCCTACTACAATACGCTTGCCAAATACAACATATTACATATGCCGTGATTATATTATTAAAATGTTTAAAGCTTCTTCATTTCAATGTAATCCTTATCCATATTTAAAAGTGAGGTAATGTCATTTACATGCCAAAAAGCCCTAAAATTAGTATGGCAGAGGGGTGTAGGGTAACAAGATAAGGGTATTACTTCGAGAAGGAGGACAGCCACATCCCTCAGGGTGGTCCAAATTCCTTGGGCCCTATTTCTTTATTTAACTCACTTATGGCTCCTCGTTCCATCCCCTGGGCAACAGTATTGGCTTACTGGCAAAACTAAGTGAGTGGAAACCATCCTAGGCAGATGAAGCTCAAAAGCCCTGAAAGGCAATTCATCTATGTTAAGCACACACAGAATGCCAAACCATCACTGCCTTGTGGAAGTTCCTGTTAGAACAGAGGCCTAGGCAACAAAGCCAGACAGAAAATGTGGGTAGGCAGAGCTCATAAGTCCTGGAAGGCAATCAGCCTATGGGAGTGGGAATCCTGAAAATAAACCTCAACCGTCTAAGTTGGAAGATGTCAGCCTACATGGCACGGGACTAAAAATCAGGCATCTATGCACTAGTGATATGGTCATGCAAACAACATTATTACGTTATGGTGTCATTACTATGGGACGTCTCCAGGTAGGGATGGCACCAGGCTCCCTGTCTCGAAGGAGCCCACCCCAAGCTACTAGAACCACAACCTCTGAATCTTCTAGAGTTACCAAGGAAGAACAGAGTAATTCAACTGGACAAAAACTGACAATTATGCACTGGAATGCTGAGGGAGTGAGTCTTAAAAAAATTTATTTAAAAAATGTCTTGAAACAGCAAGATACTGACTTATGCTGCATCCAACAGACTCACCTCACAAGTGCACACAGATTCTCTATCAGAGGATACCAAATCTTCCGACATGACAGGTTAGATCATCCGAAAGGAGTCTTGATTGCTATCTAGAACACAATCATAGCTTGGGAAACCCAGAGATCTCAGTATGGTGATACAGAGTTTTATCACAGTCACTATGAAGGGTGCAAGGGGAGATGTGACAGTATGCAACATCTACTCACCACCAAACAGAGATATTGATCTGGGACCCAGCTAACCAAACACAGAAAATACTGTCAGAGATCTAAATTTGAAAGGAGAAGAGGTAGAAAACTGGATCATCAGCAACACTCTGGCTCTGATTAATAATCCTAAAGACCCAGATACATACTACTCTCAGTCTTGGAGGAAAACTAGCACCACAGACTTGGCTATAGCAACTGACGATGTGGAGAAAGTTACCAGCCGGGACGTATGTCAACAGCTGGGAGGTAGTGATCACAGGCCCATAATCCTGTCTATTAACAAAAGTAGAGACGTTACCCAGGAAAAGAACCCTCCCAGCTGGAACTACAAGAAGGCAAATTGGAGCCTTTTCACTTTCCAGTTGGACAATATGTTACTGCTGCTAAGTGTGAATAAAAAACAGTGTTCTTGTAGAATGGATCTTGTATTTACATCACTACCATTGGTAAGGGTGAATAAATAACAGTGTTCTTGTAGGATGGATCCTGTACTTTACATCACTACCATTGGAAAGTGTGAATAAATAACAGTGTTCTTGTAGGATGGATCCTGTACTTTACATCACTACCATTGGTAAGGGTGAATAAATAACAGTGTTCTTGTAGGATGGATCCTGTACTTTACATCACTACCATTGGTAAGGGTGAATAAATAACAGTGTTCTTGTAGGATGGATCCTGTACTTTACATCACTACCATTGGTAAGGGTGAATAAATAACAGTGTTCTTGTAGGATGGATCCTGTACTTTACATCACTACCATTGGAAGGGTGAATAAATAACAGTGTTCTTGTAGGATGGATCCTGTACTTTACATCACTACCATTGGAAAGGGTGAATAAATAACAGTGTTCTTGTAGGATGGATCCTGTACTTTACATCACTACCATTGGTAAGGGTGAATAAATAACAGTGTTCTTGTAGGATGGATCCTGTACTTTACATCACTACCATTGGAAAGTGTGAATAAATAACAGTGTTCTTGTAGGATGGATCCTGTACTTTACATCACTACCATTGGTAAGGGTGAAGATTACAATGTTCTTGTGAATAAATAATCAGTGTTCTTGTAGGATGGATCCTGTACTTTACATCACTAGCACATTGGAAAATGTGAATAAATAACAGTGTTCTTGTAGGATGGATCCTGTACTTTACATCACCTACCATTGGAAAAGTGTGAATAAATAACAGTGTTCTTGTAGGATGGATCCTGTACTTTACATCACTACCATTGGTAAGGGTGAATAAATAACAGTGTTCTTGTAGGATGGATCCTGTACTTTACATCACCCACCATTGGAAAGTGTGAATAAATAACAGTGTTCTTTGTAGGATGGATCCTGTACTTTACATCACTACCATTGGTATTTTCTTTGGGTGAATAAATAACAGTGTTCTTGTAGGATGGATCCTGTACTTTACATCACTACCATTGGTAAGGGTGAATAAATAACAGTGTTCTTGTAGGATGGATCCTGTACTTTACATCATACCATTGGTAAGGGTGAATAAATAACAGTGTTCTTGTAGGATGGATCCTGTACTTTTACCATCATCACCACAACATTGGTAAGGGTGAATAAATAACAGTGTGTTCTTGTAGGATGGATCCTGTACTTTACATCACCACCATTGGAAAGTGTGAATAAATAACAGTGTTCTTGTAGGATGGATCCTGTACTTTACATCACTACCATTGGTAAGGGTGAATAAATAACAGTGTTCTTGTAGGATGGATCCTGTACTTTACATCACCACCATTGGAAAGTGTGAATAAATAACAGTGTTCTTGTAGGATGGATCCTGTACTTTACATCACTACCATTGGAAAGTGTGAATAAATAACAGTGTTCTTGTAGGATGGATCCTGTACTTTACATCACTACCATTGGTAAGGGTGAATAAATAACAGTGTTCTTGTAGGATGGATCCTGTACTTTACATCACTACCATTGGTAAGTGTGAATAAATAACAGTGTTCTTGTAGGATGGATCCTGTACTTTACATCACCACCATTGGAAAGTGTGAATAAATAACAGTGTTCTTGTAGGATGGATCCTGTACTTTACATCACTACCATTGGAAAGTGTGAATAAATAACAGTGTTCTTGTAGGATGGATCCTGTACTTTACATCACTACCATTGGAAAGTGTTGAATAAATAACAGTGTTCTTGTAGGATGGATCCTGTACTTTACATCACTACCATTGGTAAGGGTGAATAAATAACAGTGTTCTTGTAGGATGGATCCTGTACTTTACATCACCACCATTGGAAAGTGTGAATAAATAACAGTGTTCTTGTAGGATGGATCCTGTACTTTACATCACTACCATTGGAAAGTGTGAATATAATAACAGTGTTCTTGTAGGATGGAGATCCTGTACTTTACATCACTACCATTGGTAAGGGTGAATAAATAACAGTGTTCTTGTAGGATGGATCCTGTACTTTACATCACTACCATTGGAAAGTGTGAATAAATAACAGTGTTCTTGTAGGATGGATCCTGTACTTTACATCACTACCATTGGTAAGTGTGAATAAATAACAGTGTTCTTGTAGGATGGATCCTGTCCTTTTACATCACTACCATTGGTAAGGGTGAATAAATAACAGTGTTCTTGTAGGATGGATCCTGTACTTTACATCACTACCATTGGTAAGTGTGAATAAATAACAGTGTTCTTTTAGGGTTGGATCCTGTACATTTGGCACACATCACTACCATTGGTAAGGGTGAATAAATAACAGTGTTCTTGTAGGATGGATCCTGTACTTTACATCACTACCATTGGTAAGTGTGAATAAATAACAGTGTTCTTGTAGGATGGATCCTGTACTTTACATCACTACCATTGGTAAGGGTGAATAAATAACAGTGTTCTTGTAGGATGGATCCTGTATTTACATCACTACCATTGGTAAGGGTGTATAGATTACAATGTTCTTGTAGGATGAATACTCTACATCACTACTGCTGGTAAGTGAATGAATAAAGCGCCAATGTTCTTACCACATGTTCTACAGTAGCACCTTGACGAAGAATCAGCCCACTTTCAAAGTCTGGCCGCTCTGCAAGTATAACATAACATCATGTGAGGAAGATAACATTATCACAGTAAAGTACCTGCTACATGATGATGAAAATGGGGCATCCTACGATTACAAACTTGGTGTATTATTCTGGTGAGGTCTGATTTTTTTTTCTTTAAGTTGAATTACTGAACAGAGTAATTTGTAAAATATTTAACTAAGTACACTAACCATGACGCCACTGCCTCTACAGTCCGAACATTCTTCTTCTTCTGCCCTCTGCCCCCCAATGGAGCATAGGCTCTCAACCAACTCATGCTGCTGCCCTATCCTTTGCTATCGCATGCAGCTCACCCCATGTCCTCCTTATCTTTTTAACTTCCTTTTCTAGCTCCCTTCTCCATGTTATTTTCTTTGGGTTTACCTTTATTTCTATGCCCCTGTGAGTTTCAGTCTGAACTTTAGTGATTGAAAAAGAGTTCCATTCAAAATAAAAAGTTAGTTGCATATCCTTTACAGGGCATTGCAGAACTAACCCCATCATTATTTTTAGTTGTGATTTTTCCTAAGCAAAATTTTTACATTCAGTAGTTTGCCTTTGCTTTCTAAACAGACAACTCTCAGTACCACTGTCGGAACCAACGCAAGACAAATCGTCCGCAGCTGGGATCGAACCCCACAACCTGGCATTAGAAAGCGCGTTTGCAACGCCTAGCACATAGACGGCGACATTCAATATATAATGCTTAAATATAGCCCTTGAACATTTATTTAATTCAACCCTGATTAACATGCTCCACTTTATACCAAGAACAATCTATACGTTTCAGTTTGCTGATGCCAACCACTGTAGAAGCATTATAATTGAGATAGTAACTATTGACCAAATCAACAGCAACCTAACTGAGATAGGAACTAATTAACCACATCAGAAGCAATCTAACTGAGACAGGAACTAACTTCTTCTTCTTTTTCTTCTTCACTTTCTCTTTTACCGCTGTGGGTGTCGAGGGAGATATAAGGTTCTGTTTCTAGCTCTTCTGGCTGCCTCGACCATAGAGTTTCTCTGATGTTATCCTTCCATCTTGTTCTTGGTCTACCCCGTGCTCTACGTCCTTCTTCTCTTTCCATGTATGCTTTGTATGGTATGGTGTCACAAGGCATTCTCTCAAAGTAGGAAAACCATTTCAACTTGCTGTCTTTGTAGGTAATCCAGAACCTGGTTCTGTGCCGACTTGTTCTCTTATGATCTCATTCCTGATATTATCTCTTATGGTCACTCCTACAGCCCTTAACTCAGACATCTCATTTTCGTGGTTACTAATTTTCTTTTATGGTTTGTTGTAAAGTGATTTACATGTCTGGCACTGGTAGCACAGAGTTGGAATAAATATGCTTTGTCTAATACGATGTCCTCTTTGTGCTGATGGTTAATTGGGATTGTCTTATGTCTGTAAGAGGGGAGCTAGCTGTCCCAATACTTGGTTTGCTTTACTGCATCTAATGTTAATTTCTTTATCCAATTTCCCATCAGCTTCGGTAAATGTACATTCCCAGATATTTAAACTCAGATGCCTGTTTAATGCCTTTGTGTATTCTGATTGCTATGTTACCAGATCTGTCTTCTTTTTTCCTACTTGATCCATTAGAGAGAATTCCCAGACAGTCAAATAGGGAACTAAGGGAACCACATCAAAAACAATCTAACTGAGATGGGAATCAATTAACCACATCTGAAGCAATCTAAATGAGATTGTAACTAATTAACCATATCAGAAGCACTCTGAGATAAGACTAATTAACCACATCAGAAGCAATCTAATTCTTCTGGTAATATCATGTGAAAGGTAAAAGTGGAGCATGCTATGACAATAGGAAAGTTAAAGAAGACTAGAGGCAGATGGAGACCAAGAGAAAAGATGCTAGCCAGTTTAGCATCATGGCCCATAAGGAATTTTTGTAGCAAAAATGACTGAAGATATAAGAAATCTGAAGGCTAAGGACTGCCATGACTACCAACGCCACATGGATGGACAATAAAAAAATATAATAACAAATCCATTATCTCTAAAACACCATGGTAATTACCTCCTCTTTTCTTTGTGTAAACCCTCAGCAAGGCCAGATGTTCCCACACCTGATCCATCAAGTAGTCCAGGTTCATCTTCATGTTACAGCTGGGGATGTTAGACATGAGTCCTTTCATCATGTGGTACACAAACATAGATTATTAAACTCTGAGCAAACCTACGGGTGCTCTGAGAAATGAGTCCTTTCATCATGTGGTACACAAACATACATTATTAAACTCTGAGCAAACCTACAGGTGCTCTGAGGGTAAAGACAAATGAGTGGATTTCACGTGAGATGTGGCAACCGTGAAACAAACATCGAATAAAACTCTGAGCAAACCTACAGGTGCTCTGAGACGGATCAAGAAAGAGCGACTTTCATCATCTGAGGCAATTGAGTCTGAGAACATACATCATCTAAAACTCTGAGCAAACCCACAGGTGCTTTTAGAAATGAGTCCATCCATCATGTGGCACACAAACTAACTCTGAGCAAACCCACAGGTGCTCTGAGAAATGATTCCTTTCATCATGTGGCAACACAAACATACATCATTAAACTCTAAATAAACCCACAGGTGGTCTGAGAAATGAGTCCTTTCATCATGTGGTACCACAAACATACATCATTAAACTCTGATCAAACCCACAGGTGCTCTTAGAAATGAGCCCTTTCATCATGTGGCAACACAAACGTACACCATTAAACTCTGAGCAAATCCACAGGTGTTCTGATGAAAAATATATATATTCATAGGCACTGACTGGCACACAAAGGATATGTAATGTGAAATCAGTAAGAAGAGACCTAATAAAATTCCAGTGAATCAAAAGATGAGGAAAAGACTGGCGTTGGATAAGACAAATGTTGAGATAACCTGACAACAATATAACTAAAATGTCTTCACACTGGAGCCCACAGGGTCAGAGGGATAAAGACAACAAAACCTCCCCTTTTCTCCACACAAAAAAAAGAAGGGAACTAGAGTGAAGTGAAAAAAAGCTATGGATTGAGCTGCGTGGGATAGCAAAGCATAGGGCAACTTGGCATGAGATTGATGTTTTACTGCAGGGAAAATGGCATAAGATGAAAAAGTCTAGCATTAACAGTTTGCAAAGTAACACATTAAATTGTTTCCATCTGCTAATCTTTTTTTGAATTCTGTTACTTTCATCTGCCTTCTGTTTGTCCACCTCAATATATGTGAAGAATTTCAATTTCTTATGTTACTGTGATGGTTTCAATGATTCGCTAGTGTTATATACTTCTATGCATGATCACTAAGGTGCTTTGTCATAGTTTTGTGGTTAAATGTCCCTAAAAATGAAATGAACTTTAAAATGTGATTGAAAAGCTTAACCAAAGGAAGACACTATAGATAAAAGCAAATATATCAGTCTTTTTCATTGAAAAAAAAAAAAAATTTACCAAGGAAAAAAATTAACTGCCAGATAAATTTTGCAGCCCTTGAATAATGATTTAAAAACCTCAGAAAAAAAAAAAAAGCTAAAACTGGATGTCCTTTCAAAGTGGGTTCAAGGTGGCCCATTATTGCAAAAGGGAAAAAGTTGGGACTGGGGGGTAGGGGGAGGGACTGCACTTCAGGATTGACAGTTACGACGGTGGCAAGCATGTCGTAAAAAGTTACTAATTAAGGATTTGCTAAAATCTTATAATTCGGACCAAAATGTGTAGATATTGCAATCTAGCTGTACACAACAAAGCAGACCAAAATTATGCTTTCAAGAAGAAGCTGCTGCTAACCCTTTTCCTGCCCAAGGCAGTAGAAATTAACCTTTCACATGGACTAGAAAAATGTAAAGCCACATGCTTTAAACACTCTTATATTTCAAAGCAAGCAAACAGAAGAAAAAGCAAGATTAAGGTATACAAAAAGATAAACTATGAAGAGCAAATAAAATAAGTACTAAGAAATGAAGAAGCAACTATTTCTACTGTACGTTTATAACTGCTTTCCAAGAAAACCATCCTTAGTCAGAATCATATGGCAACACTCACCTTAAGACAACAGTATGTGGTTGCCTGGCCAGTCTGTCAACTTCCTCAATGGATATCTGATCAATTTTATTGTACACCTAATCAAGACAGAAATAAGTTATTAAATAACCCTTCATAAAATTAAAATTAATTAAAAGGAGTAAAAAGTAAATAATTTGAGGGGTGATCATAAGTCTTACCCTGACTATGAAGGAAGTCTTACCCTGACTATGAAGGAAGTCTTACCCTGACTATAAAGGAAGTCTTACTCTGACTATAAAGGAAGTAGGACATCTTACTCTGACTATGAAGCAAGTCTTACTCTGGCCTGAATATAAGGAAGTAGGATGGTGTGTAGGTTTACCCTGACTATGAAGGAAGTCTTACCCTGACTTTATAAAAGATAAGTAGGACGTCTTATCTTACCATCGACTGACTATAAAGGAAGTAGGACATCTTACCCTGACTATAAAGGAAGTCTTACCCTGACTACGAAGGAAGTCTTACTCTGACTATGAAGTGAAGTCCCTTGTCTGATATTCACCCTGACTGATAAAGCTGAAAGTAGGTAAAAGTATCATTTTTCATTCGGACGCTCTCTTACTCTGACTATGCACAAAATTCAAAGGAGGTAGGAAGTCTTACCCTGACTATGAAGGAGGTAGGAAGTCTTACCCTGACTATGAAGGAGGTAGGAAGTCTTACCCTGACTATAAAGGAAGTAGGAACTCTTACCCTGACTATGAAGGAAGTCGTACCCTGACTATAAAGGAAGTCTTACCCAGAATATGAAGGAAGTCTTATCCTGACTATAAAGGAGGTAGGAAGTCTTACCCTGACTATGAAGGAAGTTTTACCCTGAATATGAAGGAGGTAGGAAGTCTTACCCTGACTGTGAAGGAAGTTTTACCCTGACTATGAAGGAGGTAGGAAGTCTAGAGCAGGATTCCCTGACTGTGAAAGGACAGTTTACCCTGAGGGACTATGAAGGAGGTAGGAAGTCTTACCCTGACTATGAGCTTCCTGTGTCTGAAGTCTTACCCTGACTATGAAGGAAGTCTTACCCTGACTATAAAGGAAGTCTTACTCTGACTATAAAGGAAGTAGGACATCTTACTCTGACTATGAAGCAAGTCTTACTCTGCCTATAAAGGAAGTAGGAACTCTTACCCTGACTATGAAGGAAGTCTTACCCTGACTATAAAAGAAGTAGGACATCTTACCCTGACTATAAAGGAAGTAGGACATCTTACCCTGACTATAAAGGAAGTCTTACCCTGACTACGAAGGAAGTCTTACTCTGACTATGAAGTAAGTCTTACCCTGACTATAAAGGAAGTAGGACATCTTACTCTGACTATGAAGGAGGTAGGAAGTCTTACCCTGACTATGAAGGAGGTAGGAAGTCTTACCCTGACTATGAAGGAGGTAGGAAGTCTTACCCTGACTATAAAGGAAGTAGGAACTCTTACCCTGACTATGAAGGAAGTCGTACCCTGACTATAAAGGAAGTCTTACCCAGAATATGAAGGAAGTCTTATCCTGACTATAAAGGAAGTAGGAAGTCTTACCCTGACTATGAAGGAAGTTTTACCCTGAATATGAAGGAGGTAGGAAGTCTTACCCTGACTGTGAAGGAAGTTTTACCCTGACTATGAAGGAGGTAGGAAGTCTTACCCTGACTATGAAGGAGGTAGGAAGTCTTACCCTGACTGTGAAGGAAGTTTTACCCTGACTATGAAGAAGTTTTACCCTGAATATGAAGGAGGTAGGAAGTCTTACCCTGACTATGAAGGAGGTAGGAAGTCTTACCCTGACTATGAAGGAAGTTTTACCCTGAATATGAAGGAGGTAGGAAGTCTTACCCTGACTGTGAAGGAAGTCTTACCCTGACTATGAAGGAGGTAGGAAGTCTTACCCTGACTATGAAGGAAGTAGGAAGTCTTACCCTGACTATGAAGGAAGTAGGAAGTCTTACCCTGACTATGAAGGAGGTAGGAAGTCTTACCCTGACTATGAAGGAGGTAGGAAGTCTTACCCTGACTATGAAGGAGGTAGGAAGTCTTATCCTGACTATAAAGGAAGTAGGAAGTCTTACCCTGTTTATGAAGGAAGTCTTATCCTGACTATAAAGGAAGTAGGGTGTCTTACCATGACTATGAAGGAAGTCACCCTGACTATGAAGGAAGTCTTATCCTGACTAAAAAGGAAGTAGGAAGTCTTACCCTGACTACGAAGGAAGTTACAAAGAAAGCTGAAACTGGTACAGTGTTTATTCCTTTTGTTTGCCATCTCTGCCTGACCTAGAAAAGACTTTGGGAGTAGAACACCCTATTTTTCTAGCTAAACCAGTTATCACAGGCCAGTGTTCTTCATCACTGGCAAACTGAATTCCTTTTATCTGTTTTTTAAAGTTTGGGAACAGAACAAAAGCCAGGGTGCCAGATCTGGTGAATAAGGCGGGTGAGGAAGAATTTAAATATTTAAATTGTTGGCTGTTAGGTGCACAATCTATGATTTGTCCTGAAGCAAATGGAGAGTTTGCGTGCAGGCAATCCGTTGTTTTCTTGTCACAGTTTTTCTAAGTTTTGTAAGGAGACTGAATAGTACTGTCCACTGACAGTTTTGCTTCAAGACAGGTATTCTTTCAAAAGAACAACTTTGGTGTCCCAAAAAAACTATCAGCATCACTTTCCCTGCAGATTTCTGTTGTTTGACAAGTGTCGGGAACCTGACGTTTTCCAGCACATGCTAGCAATTTTGAATTGGGGGTCATAATAGTGAACCAAAGTCTCATCTACTGTCACCACAGTCGTCAAAATATTTTCTGACAGACTCTTATTGAGTAACTGTCAACAGCACCAACGTCAGTTCCTTTTGTTCACAAGTTTAGCAAGCATAGAGCACAGCGGGCACACTTTCCTCATGTTCAGTCTGCTGTGTAAAATTCTAGCAACTGTACTTTTACTCATTTTAACTGCAATAGAAATGTCCATAGTAGTCATTTTCCTATCTTGGTCAACGATTTTCTGCATTTTCGTCAGTGCACTTTGAGTGCGGTCTTCCACATTTTGGCATATTAACAACATTTATGTGGCCACACTTAAACTGCCTGCACACATTTTTTTTTACCAAAGCATATAACAGCAGGATTTCTGAAATACTGGTTCCATCTTCCTGTGTATTTCTGTTAATGTTTTATCCTGCAACATCAGGAATTTTATAACAGTTCTGGCATCTGATGGCACCATTTGTGGTGAGAAATGTATGCAGCAGATCCTACCAACAGGATGTACTGCGCTATGCACCATAATGGGAAAACCTGTCATAGGATCAATGCAAACTTCTCACATTTAGTTACGAAATCTTCTTCTTCTTCATTGTGGGGAAAACAAGAATAGACCCACTGCCTACCCAAAAGCATGTCGCAAGAGTCGACTAATTGGGTAGCTTTCTTTGAAGTCGAAGTGCATCTGCCTGAGAGGCAAGGAAACAACAGTCTGAATCAAGTGAATCAGATCTGTAAAACTGATGCACATTAAACACTAAGGTTCTGCAGCAGGAAGTGGACGAACAACTAGAACTATCCGCCCCCAGTGTAAACCTGGTGAATGCGAAAAAGAAGAAGTTACAAAATAATAAGCTATAAACGTGCCAACTTTCAGTTTTCCCCCAGTTACTCCTTTATAGTCAGGGTAAGGACTTGCGGATCACCTCTCGTAAAAGAAAGAACCCTACTTCTATGCCAATGTGTCATATTTTATTCATCACACTAAAGGTTCAACCCTTGGTCTCTTAAATTACACCCAGCATTCCCACTATTCAACCATCCACTTTTCTAAACAAATACTGAGTGCGCATTCATTTCTGTATCATTTGAAATAATAATAGTTTAGGTGATTAAATAGAACAAAATAAAAGTAAAAACAACAGCTAAATAAGACTGATATGAACTGTGAGAAAATTCAGAGGGAAGAGAGGCCGAGGAAGACCAAGAGAGAAGACATTGGATAGTCTGGCATCATGGTCTGCAACCAACACTTTATCAGCTGTATATCTTATATTGTCAATGTGTCATGCTCCCACGCTGACTCCTTTCACGCCATTTTGATGTCAAATAAGTCAACACTGCACAAGTTAACAAGTGTGGCAGAAGCTGATAATACAAGGTAAAAAATTAAAACAGCATCACCAAATAGAAGAAAAGGTCTGATACCGTGTGTAAATTATCTCCATACCCTACAGCTGAAGAGGAACATTATGAGTATGATGATGATAATGATGTGTAAGCTTACATAAAGGCAGGGCATGTAAACTCTAGTGCCGAGGATAACATCCACAAACTCATCCGAAGTGCAGTCTTCCCTGAACAACACCTCTGCGTTGAAAATCTCTGGGACAGGTCAAGGAAAACAACATTTGCAACAAGGTTGTGGCCAGCAGGAAAAGTTCTTAGTGGCAGTGTAAACCTCTAGAAGACGTCAATGTGAAAATAATGTATTAAAAAAAATTAAATAAATAATTGCAGCGACAGTTTATGAATTATAAAAACAGTTTCATAATTTTTCCAACATCCCAGATTTAATTCCCCTGCTCCCTGGGGTCCATTGGGGGGGGGGGGGGGGGGGGGGGGGGGGGGGGGGGATAACCCACCCAAGCATGTTGTCATACATGGCGACACATTTTTCCTTTTTTATTCAAAGTGCATCCGATTGATCTGTAAAACAGATGTGCACACAAAATTCAAGTTCTGGAACAAGGCCAAAGTCCAGAAATGGATGAACAACCAGAACATTCCGCTGGAGTTTACAGCCGGTGAACACCAAGAACAAGAAGAATTCAAACACAAAACCTTTAGCTACAGAAATTAACGTCCTGAAAGTTAAGCATATAAAACATGAATGTACCTAATCTAAACATAAGCATCACCATCAAAGGATACTGTACTCATGGAGGATCAACTGTACCATTTTCTCACTAGTTTTTGTTAGAGGCACAGTGGAGTTGAAGGAGATACCACCTCCTTTCTTTTGCTGTAAATAAATAAATATATAATGAACCAGGCAGAATTATGGTAAAGCTGTACAAATTTAAACTAACATGTGGAAAATACAAGTTACAGGTCAGATCTGTACAAAATATGTATGCACAAAACAAGACTAATATCCAGAAGGGGATGAACAACCAGAACTGACAAAGTTTACAGCCGGTGAACATGAAGAAGAAGAAGAAGCTGATGAGGACATGTGGCCAAGAAATTCTTTTATTGTAATTTTAATCTGATAAAACTGACCCATAATTAGTGCTTTTCATTTCCTCTCATAAATAAAAAGAAAGGTTAACACTTGCTTGTATGCTGCCCAGTCATTAAAATTATGAATATAACACTTCTTTTTTTCTTTAGTCCCTGTTCTGCCTTTCAGTTTCAGTTCCGATGCTTTGCATAAAAAAACAAAAATCGCCATGTTCAACCAGCGGCCCCTAAGGGTGAGCTTTAGGTTATAACTGTGACTAGCTTATTGCGTATTATAAAATGGCTTAGCCATTTTAGCGCTGCATGCCACCAAATGCCATGATAAGGACTGCTGCAGTGATGATGTAATAAGAGGAGATGACCCAAATAATGTCCCGGGCCGGCGACAGTTATCTACCAGGGGGCCAATGGGCGACCCGGCTGCCCATGTTTAGTGTCAGTCTGGTGCAAGCTTTGGTGGGTGTTAGTTAAGTAGATCCAGGCCTCAGATATTCCATCTGTCATCGCTTGTAAGGATGATCGCTAGCTCTACCTCTACTGTATCTAAGTGACACAGTGATATGATAATGTCCAAAATGGCTTGAAACCACCTGCAAGTAAATCAGATTTCATGAAACAAAAGAAATGTGCATAAACAGCATATACTGCAACCCAGCAACAATGCTGTATTTATCAATTCCCTCTTAAACTACTAAGTTATTAGAGACTTCATGTCTGGCAAGAAATTGCAAATTGAACGTACGAAACAAGAATTTAAAAAAAAAGCATATAGTTTAACTCTAAAGTATACCTTGAAGTAAATGTTTGGTTTCCTGCAGTTCAAACGGATGCCAACCTCTTCCAATTCTTTTTCTAGGAGCTCTCTATAAAAGAGGGGAAACAGCAAATAGGTTACACTTGACCTGCATATTTGTTTTAATGTTTGTAAGAGTAGGGTTTAAAATCCCCATCTTAATGTGGGAAACAATTTGTATTTTTTTAAATTTTAAAGCACTGTTGTGTCCTAAACTTATTTTGCTGTTCAATTGGATCAGAAGTGTGATCACCTATGCCAGTCGTAAAGGCACTAGATGATGACAGAGATGAGTGCAAATGATCTACACAGCTTGAAGTATGAGATGAGTGTTTCTCGAAACTAGTGGGAGACAGTGGCTTCACGGGGATTGCAAGTCAGCGTGACTAGCCACTGAGCTGAAGGTTGGCCCACGTCCAGTCAGTGCCCCTCAACCTGTGAGATAGTTCGGATGTGTGTGACTTTTAGTCGTAATCATGTATATTATTTTATTCTGGTGAAAGCTTAAACTGTTCATTAGAATTTGGTGTATAATTCTGGATTCCCCAGTTAAGTGTATGTAATGGAGACAAGGTGTTGAGAGCCTAACACTTTATATTATCCTATTACAGGGACGTGATCATTCCTTGTGGGGTTCTGACTTGCGGGGAGACTTGGTGTGCCAGGGGCAGAGTCTCTAGTCAGTTCGATGGTGGATTTCTGACTGCGACTGTGTGTTCTGGAGGCATAGTGACGTTGGCACAGCCTCTAGTCAGTTATTATGTATAGGTTTTTAGTGACCTAAAGTATGGGCACATAACCGAGGCGTTTATTAAAGGCTACTGGAGACCCCAAGAGGGGGCCCGTAGGCCGAGGGCGTTGATGTTGTGGATTCACTTCAAGACGAGGCTAGGTGTCACCCTTTGAGGTGATACCGCCTTGGAAGTATACCAGTGGGTATCTGGGGAGTATTAGACAGGCAGTAGTTCGGTAATCACCAATTCATCTCCATCGTCATAGTTTGTTCGTCAATAAAGAGACTGATGCACTATTATAGAGATGATTTTTAGCGTATTGTTGTTGGCACTGTTATCGGTATTGGGGGGAACGATGAGACTATGTGTAACTGTGATCTAAGCACTCTACTGTAGGGAACCCAATTAGTCGTCGGACAGTCGACTTAGGAACTATGTATATATATATGGGTGAAACAATAATCATTCACCCCTAGACATCTAACTAGATAAGCGGCCCATACACCGGATAGCATACATCAAGCCCCACACCAAGGGGACCATAAATATAACCTAGGGGTTGAATGAGATTTTTGCCCGGGTGATTCTCATCGTAATAGTGACACTTCGTGTCACAGGGTGTTTATCGCTCACCATATGGGTATACTTCTCACATTTTCCAACATTCAAGATTGAGTCGACATGGGGGACAGGTCAATTATGGAAATCTTGTCTCAAACCCAAGACAATACAGGCTGGCAAATGAAGCCACTGTGCCATGGCATAGTTTCAATGCAAAACAATGGTTTCAGATTTTTCAAGGGAACTTAAATAAAAAAAATAAAAAAATACACACACAGTAAAGTTGTCGTTTTCTTTCCTTTCTGTGCGTGTTAGCTATTTGTGTGAAATGCCAGAATGAACTCACCTTTGTTTCTCTCCTTTCATGGCATCCAGCATGATAATGATCAGGTCAGCTGTTCTAGCAACGGCAATCACTTGACGACCTCGACCCTTACCTGAAAACAGATAATGTATTTAAAGCAAGTTATACAATAGTTATGTCTTTGAAATAATAGCTGGTTTTCATAAACTTATACAAATAAAACAAAACTCACAGTGTGGGTTCTGGGGACCCATTTTTTGGGAAACACGAATAGCCTCACTGCTCATCAACAATCATGCTGCAAACATGACCAATCAACCATTTGCTGCATCAGATATAATGGGCCGAAAGAAACAGATGTTGCAGCCTGGCTGTAAACCACAACACAAAGTGTAAACTGCTCTTTTTAGGGCGAAATAAGAGAAGACATAGAAGAAGAAGAACTTTCAATAATTTATAAACAGAATACCCCAAACCGAAGAACTTAAAATAATTTATAAACATCAGAATACCCCATACCGAAGAACTTACAATAATTTATAAACATCAGAATACCCCATACCAGAAGATCTTACAATAATTTATAAACATCAGAATACCCCATACAGAAAAACTTACGATAATTTATAAACATCAGAATACCCTACACCGAAGAACTTACAATAATTTATAAACATCAGAATAACCCATACCGAAGAACGTTTTATAAATATCAGAATCTTAAAAAAGACTGCATTCTTAAGCTGAGGGTTTGTGTAATTAATACCATGGACTCCTTATATTTGTTCCACGGACCCCTTAAACACCAAATTGGAAAGACTGGCAAAGTATTTTTCACCTTACTGGGGAATAGGGAGATGCAACAGGTACAGTGGCTAGTATGCTGGCCAAATGGTCCCTTGGTAATATTTTCTTCTGAAGATTTGTGGAAAGAGGAAGGTGGCGCCAGAAGATTCTTTACAGCCTTTTGTCATGGCATGGAGGGTTGTCAACACACGATCCGATACATGCAGTTGCGGATCCAAGATTGTGGAAAGGCATGATCGCCTACACCAGTCGACAAGGCACTTGATGATGGTGATGAATGTTTCTCACTGACTTGGGGCCAACTTCCTAAAATCAATGTGGGAACTTGACTAGGAAGTGAGGCGCCTGAAGTTATACTGATAACATCTCTTTGAGTCCCAGGGGGTTTAGCATCACAGGCCCATGTTGTCGAAAAGAGAGTCATAAAATCGGCGCATCATACGTTCATTGGGCTTCTAGGTAGGAACCTATGAAAGCATGATGCGTTCCTTGGGACTCAAAGAGTTAAGTGTCAACTGGTTTGAAAATATGGAACAATAAGCCTTATGATGCCCTCAACTTTTTGTTGAGAGACAGACCAAGCATTCCATAAGAGGTGAGAGAAGTTGGCATCCTAATGTCAATAAAACCTATTTAAAGATAATTATTTTGCTGTTTATAATTTTAATACTCTACAGAAAGTGTCTTCCCCTTTTCATGGTGTGAGTGCTTTCATTTTTCAATTACCATGAGAGCTGTGCTTGCGGCAGCTAGGCTACCAGATGGGCCTCCTAAGTCGGACAGATCAAAGGACAGATAACAGACAAAGAGAGACACCCTGGTGCTCCAGGCTGGGGATTTAAGATTGAGGCAGACTCACACACCTCTGTAAAACCTAATCTCACCAAGAAATAAATATCCAAGCTTTGAAAAAGACAGTAAAGAGATGAGGTAAAGAGATAATAAAAAGGCAGACCTACAAACACATGCAGTCTCTAACTGAAAAGAAAAGAGCAATCACAGCGATGATGGAGCTGGGTGATATCTGCAGCATGAACATCAAGGCCTCAGATTGCTGTAGAAGACATAGCCAACTGTTAAAATCAAATTGCTGATCAGATATCCACCTGCGAAGAGTACCAGATTTAATTCTAAATTATCATAAAGCTCAATGAAAAATCACATTCTACTGATCAGATACCAGAAATGACCAACAGCTAATAAAAGTTAAAACTTTACATGAATATAGGTTGAAATCTCTTACCTTGCGCAGCACCTTCAATAATCCCAGGCAAGTCAAGCAGCTGTATATTTGCTCCATTGTACTGAGAAATGTTTCAATAAAACACTGTTCAATTATGATTTATGTCAACGACAAGAAATCTATTCTGTACAAAAACCTTACCAACCTCACATTAACAGTACAGTGTAAATTTTACACAGGTGTAACAATGTTGGTAGAAACATATTTAGCAGGACTGTTCTGTAAAAACAAATATCAAATGAGAATAAATAAAGTATAATGTGGCCATTCTTCCCTACTAAAACTTTACTTCAAGAAATGAATTATACACATATTTATGTAGCAATGTGAGGAGAAGGAAAAAAGTAAAAAGGCAGACTTAGACAATAGCTAAACTATAGCTACTAAAGCTAGAGCTAAAGAAAAATACACAGAAGCTAATAAGGAAGTTAGGAGGCGAATAAGGGCAGACAAAATGGAAAATTCAGATGATCTACCTCTCACAAGAAGCGGAGACAGCAGGAAACCTTAGAAACCTTTACAGTAACAAGGAAATTAGTAGGTAAATACGACAGTCAGCCAAATGGATCAATAAAAAATAGTCAAAAAAAGGTACTCACCAACACTAAAGATCAAATTAAAGATAATGAGAATAGATCAGTTAAATAGTAATATGATTTCACTCAATGGTATCCCACTCCAAGACGTGGAGTCGTACACCTAACTGGGCAGTAATGTAGATAAAGATGGGGGGACTCACAGAGATATTAAAATAAGAATACAAAAAGCAAGAAGAGCTTCGATAGCACTAGGGAATTTGTGGAGGTAAAAAGAAATTAAAACTAATAATAGATTAAAAATTTTTATTCTTATGTCAAATCAGTACTGTTGTGTGAAGCATAAGAATTGAAAACTAAGGCAATCACTAATAAACTACAAATATTCATTAACTGGGGCCTGAGCAGAATAGAGGGAATTAAATGATATGATTGAATCACTAATGCAGAGCTTTGGGATAGAACTAAACAAGTTCCAGTAGGGCAAGAGGAGAAAAAGACGCTGGCGTTGGATAGGACACACACTGAAAAAACCTGAGAACAATATAACTAGAACACAGGAATCCACAAGGGTATAGAAAAAAGGAAGGCCAAAAAACACATGCAGAAGGGAGCTAGAAAGTGAAGTTAAAAAGACTGGGAGGACATGGGGACAGCTGCAGAACAGAACGACTTAGCGTGAGTTGATTGAGGGCCTATGCTCCATTGGGGGTTAGAAGGAAGAAAGAAGAAGAATGAAAGGAGGGGATAACGGACAGAGACAGCATAAAATAAATACAAAAGTTCAGAGGAGCTTCCCAAGCACATGGACATTTCTGGAGTTTAAAAACCATTTTACTTAGTAACAAACTAACAATGTTTAGCTTTAACATAATATTAGTTATGCTGTTACAAATCAGAAACAAGGTGAAAACATAAAGTTACAATAAACAGAAAATATAATAACCTGCAATGAACAGAAAAATTCAAATGGCATAACAAAAATCCATGGTGCAAATTCCAGTGAATCAAGAGGGAGGAAAAGAGTGACAGCTAGATAGGACTCACTCTGGGAGAAACATTTAGAAGGGTTTAGTATCAGCTGAGGGCCACTAATTTACCGAGGTAACCCAATGTGGGTTCTGGGAACCCATTCTAGGGAAAAAAGAGCAAACCCACTACCATGCCAACAAGCATGCCATACCAGGCAACTAAATAAGAGTTTGCTGAAAATGGATGTGTTGGGCCAAAAGGGCGCAGATACTGCAGTCTAGCTGTTCACAACAAAATATTTCTACCGCCCTTCTAAGGAGAACACAACAGAAAAAGAAGAATTTAGGTAATGCAAGGCAGAAGAAGAAAATTAAAAAAAAAATAAAACTCTTACCTCAATGACGCCAGGTATACATGTCAGAGTGGTGAACTCATAAGCAGCAGATTCACTGTGTGTTGATGTCAGCGTGTTCAGCAAAGTCGACTACAAAAAGAAGGAAAACAAGAATATACAAGATCAGTACCCATAGTCATTATTACACATCTCCTTACCATTTTTGTTTGCACAGTGTAAGCAATAATTATTTAAATGACCTATTTAAAACAACTTTTAAAAAAAGTGTTCAAAAAGCAAGAAATTCAAGCAAGAAGTACAACTCCGATGTACCCGATTTAATCTCAGAAGACTTAGTAGTTTGAGACAATTTTAACAGAATCTCAGGCAATGAATTTAATCCATTCCATAACTGGGCTTGTTTGGCAAATTATTCCTGTCATAAATTTATCTTCCCCCCCCCCCCCCCCCCCCCCCCCATTAAAATTAATGTAAATAATTTTCATTTGTTCCAGCCCTGAAAAAATTGTTTCCCTTTCGTTAACAAGGACAATTTTTGATTGCATTTTGCTTTGTTTTTGCTAACAGCAGAAAACCCTACAGTGCATCATCATCAAGTGCCCTGTCGACTGATTTAAGTCTTCCTTCAGGAATGTTATGTGACCTAATCCAAAAGTTATCGAGACTTCTCATCTCTCCAGCTTGCACCTTGGATTTCGCTTCGGATATATTAAAAAATGGCAGAGCCTGACCTTGTGTCCTGAAAACTCACATTCAGGAACAACTGTACTAAGAACTAAGCTTTCACATAGTTTTATTGACAAGATGTTCGCAAATAATAAAAATATAGTTATGCTATAATGTCACATAATGTTTTATAATTTTATTTGCCTGATAGTTTCTGATTTTAAATTCTGAACGCTGAATTAAGAATCGACATCATACCACTTGGAACACTTCCATAAGCGCTCTGCCCCTATCAGTAAGCAAAGAGTTTGAATTCCAATGGTACCAGTAAATGTCTGATTGTACGACAGTCATGCTTTTCCCCCTTGAGTGTTGAGCGTCTGCCAGTACCCCTGCTAACTTCCAAGCAGTGCCATTCTCCACAGACCATAATGATCTATTTGTGCCCACACACTTTTCGCTCGCTTCCAAAGGCCTTGACAACATCTAGCTTGTCATACATCAATTCATCACCAATTGGTGCAGTACCGGCCAGTCTAACTGCCTGTTTGTTT